ACCTATGGAAAGAACTGAGTACTTGAATCCAAAATGAAAGAATTCTCAAGACACTCAGGGAAAAAAGACAGTGACTTATAGAACAAACCCCATTAGATTAATCGTCAGATTTTTCAGCAGAAATCCTATAACTTAGGAGAAAGTGGAATCAAATATTCAAATTATTTAAAGAGAGAAGACCCCAAACAAAAAATACTAGACAAGTTATCCTTTGTGTATGAAAGAGAAATAAATGCTATTGCAGATATACAGAAAATGAGAGAATTTACCACCACAAAGACCTGCATTACAAGAAATGCCAAAATTGCTCTTTATCTCAAACAAAAAATATAAAATGACTAACAGACAGATAGAACCTCAAAAGTGCACCTCTAGTTCAGAATAGGGTATTAAAAAACATTAAATTATAACATAAAGGTAAAGAGGCAAAAGCATTTTTTAAAATATATGTTTATTGATTTCAGAGAGGAAGGAAGTGGGGAGAGAGATAGAAACATCAGTGATGAAAGAGAATCATTGATTGGCTGCTTCCTGCATGCCCCACACTGGGGATCAAGCCCGCAACTTGAGCATGTGCCTTGACTGGAATCTGGAACCCTTCAGTCCACAGACTGACGCCCTATCCACTGAGCCAAACTGGCTAGGACTTCATTTTTTTTTTTTTGTCAAGTAGTGCTTTTTTTAAATTATTTTTATTTATTAATCCTCATCTGAGGGTATTTTTCCATTGATTTTTAGGGAGCGTGGAAGAGAGAGGGAGAGACAGAAAGAAACACTGATGTGGGAGAAACACATCCTTTGGAGGTAAAAGCATTTTTAAAAAGATGACAATAGTTTTAATATAAGAAACATTCAAACCTGTAAATAATTTGTGAGTTTATTTGAGCCAAACTGTCAATTGCCAGGAAGCAGAATCTCAATATATTGAGATAATGCTCCGGAGAATTGCGGTTTTTCACTTAGTTTTATAAATTACCATCAAAGAGGAAAATGGTAGGCCTGTAATAAATAGTTAATTAAGGATGAAAATGACAGAGGCTATATAAGAGAAATTTGGGAGGAGAGAGCAGAAACTATCAAGGAACTTGAAAGAGTTTACAGAAAACACCTCTCTGTTCAATTAGAGAGTTTTTATTAGAGACAGAACACCTTTAACCTAATTACATTTACAAGACTCTAACTTATTTTTAAATACTGTTAAAAAGGCACAGTAAATATTATAAAGAATGTCAAACTTCTGACAGGGAAATTGCAGTTGAAATTTGTCAGGAATCTGTAATGAACATATTCTGACTAAGTAGGCTATGATAATAGATAAATTGCATCTTATAACTAATATATTTTAGCAACACATGGAATTTGATAGTTTTCAGTTATCTTTGTAAATTCATATCATGTGATATTTTTTCTTCATTTATTATTGAAGATTATTACTATCCATGATTTATTTACAACTTAAGTTTGATCTCTTATGGTCTAAAATATTCAGTCTATTTTCTCATATCCCTTCATATTTAATTTGTTCATTTCTACAGAGTTTTCAGACTACCCAAGTACTGCTAAACTAAATAACTGGTGGTTTTTTCTCCCAAATGGAACACAAGTAAGGAATAAGATAATATTTCTTAAAACTCATAAGAATGTATACAGTAACCATATCCCACAATATCAGTCTATTCAAACTCCTCTTTCAAAGCCTCTGCTTCCACCATCCCCATTGAGTAGGTAATAAGCCATGTTGCTGCTGCTCTCACTATAGGTGAATAGAACAAGTTAGTTCCCTGGGTTTTCTTTTAGTCTTATATAACCCAGACTAGGTGCTGGAGAAGACAGCAACCTGTAAATACCAACAAAAGCCTCTGCAAAGGATCAGGAAAAGAGCAGCACAGGAAAACAGATGACTTTTTCATAGTAACAATCCTTCTCCAACCAAACACCACAAAATAAACTGTGGTCCATTCAGCAAAAGCTGTAGAAATCTTAGGCTTTCACCCTTGCCAGGCTGTACTGAAGCAACCACAGGCCCCACACCAAAGTGGTATCACAGAAAACTGAGCAAGTTACCAGGACACTTATCCCTGCTGGGTGATAATAAGTCACCCTACCTCAGTGTCAATGGAAACGGCATAGGAAACCTGCACTTCTATCCCCACCTGGCAGGAACAAGGTGCCCTTTTTCTCCCCTGATGGAGTGGTATTAGATAAGACCTAGTAGAGAGTCAAGATGCTCACCACTACCATATAGAGGGCATCTCTCCCCATGGTGTCAGTGAAGGTGACAATAATGAGGCACCACTGCTCCTTCCAGCCAAGAAGAAATCAGTGAAGGCCTAGAAGAGAGCCAGTAATCCCACCACCACCCAGAAATAACAAGGAACTATCCTTCTCAGATATCAGTAGTAGCTGGCTGTGGAAATTCTATGCCCATGTGGAAATAATAAAGAGGTGCACCACCTTCCCTATAAAAGCAGAATTAAACCAATTAAAACATAAGGTTTAAGTAATATCCAGAATATCATAACAGAATAGTCAATGTCAGGTTCAATTAAAAAATCATATGAAGAAACAGATCTCAAACCAAATAAAAAGATACAATCAATAGATAACACCACTCAGATAACAGATGTTAGAATTTTCTGCCAATGATTTTAAAGTAGCTATCATTAAAAAGCTCCAAGAAGCAAGTAAAAACACACTTGAAACAAATGAAAGCTAGATAGTGTCAGCAAAGAAGTAGAAGATGTAAGAAAAAAATAAAGCACTAAATGCAAATTTTATAACTGAAAACTACAATAATCAAAATTTAAAACCCAATGTGTGGGTTCAATGGCAGAATGGAGGGACAGAGGAAAGAATCAGTGAACTGAAAGATAGAACAATAGAAATTACTAAAGCTGAAGAGAGAGGAAATACACTGAAAAACATATTGATGGGACCTAAGGGACATCCTATATAATAAAAGGCTAATATGCAAATTGACCAAACTGCAGAATGCCTGATCGCTATGATGTGCACTAACCACCAGGGTCAGACGCTCAATGCAGAAGCTGCCCCCTGATGGTCAGTGCACTCCCACAAAGGGAGCACTGCTCAGCCAGAAGCTGGGCTCACAGCTGGCAAGCGCAGCGGCGGTAGCAGGAGCCTCTCCTGCCTCCACTGTAGGCGGGCAGTAAGGAGCAAGGGAACCTGGACTGTGAGAGTCCCAGACTGTGAGAGGGCTGTCTGACTGCCGGAGGGATCAAGCCTAAACTGGCAGGTGGACATCCCCCAAAGGGTCTTGGACTGCTAAAGGGCACAGGCTGGGCTGAGTAACCCCCGCCCCCAGTGCACAAATTTCATGCACCAGGCCTCTAGTATATACATATATCAGTAAAGACATTAAAGGTAAATTGTTTACCTATACCTATTAAAATACAGATACTGACAAAGTGAATTTGAAAACATGACCCAACTATACGTTATCTACAAGAAATTCCCTTCAAATGTAATAATATAAGTAGGTTAAAAGTAAAAGGACGCAAAAGTATATGTCATGCAAGTGTAAATCAAAGGAAAGCAGTAGTGCCTATATTTTTATCACATAAAATAGAGTTCACAGCAAAGAAAATTTCCAGATTGAGCAAGGAATATTATCTATAATAATAAAAACACAATATGCTAGTTAGACTGGACATCCTTCCGGACGACCTTCTGGACAAAACTGGGGCTGTGAGGGACCCGGGGGTCCTGGGTGCCAGATGCCAGAGGGAAGCTGATGCTGGCAGCCAGGGGAACAAGGCCTACTCTTGCACAAATTTCATGCATCAGGCCTCTAGTATAATGATTAAAGGGTCAACCAACCAAGAAGATATAGTAATCCTGCATGTGTTTGCATCAAACAACAGAGATGAAAAATATGTAAAATAAAACTGACAAAAATTAAAGGAGAAATAAGCAAACCCATGATTATAGGTGGATATTTCAACACCCCTTTCTTGACAATTGATAGGAAAATTAGAGAGGAAGTCAACAAGGATATAGAATATTTTAACACTATCAATCAAGATGATCTAATAGACTTTTGCTGAACACACAACCAAACTACAGAATACACACTATTTTCAAGCACCCGTGGAATGCATAACAAGACAGAGCATATTCTGTCCCATAAAACAAATCTCAACCAATTTAAAATAATTAAAACTATATAGACTATGGTCTCTGACCCAGTGGAATCAAATTAAAAATAACAGAAAAATAACAATCGTGAATACTTTAAATAATCCATGAATCAAAGAGGAATCTTAATGGTATATGAAAAAGACACATTGAACTGAGTTAAAAAGAAAATACATCAAAATTTACCTTTTATCACCGTGGATTGCAGTGAAAACTGTGCTGAAAGGCAAATTTATAGTATTGAAGGTATATGTTGGAAATGAAAAAAAATCTTGTCAATAATCAAAGCTCTCACATCAAGAACCTTGTATAAAACAAAACAAAATAAACGGCAAAAAAAGAAAGAAGAAGATATGACACTGAGGAAACAGAGGGAATCTAGGTAGTCAGGAATTGGGACCATGGGGTGGGGGGAGGAAACAAAACTGGTAACCCAAATAGGTGGAATTGCTAAGGCAACCCAGCTGAATGTGGAAAGAAGGGCATGAGGTAAGAGACAAAATTTAAAATGTATAGATTGTTTGCTAAGACAAGCAACTTGCAGATAACCAATCACAAGGCAGCGAGGAGTATAACCAATCCCAAGGATGTCACTAAGGCAGAATTCTTTGAAAAGACCAATCAGGAGCTAGTAAAGCTGTATCCACCCCCTAGATTAAAAACCACCTGCTTCCTCTTGCCCTCTCTCTCACCCCCAGCACACTGGACGCTCCTATGGATGGCAAGAGATGGGAACCCCTACACCCACGTGGCTTCTGACCATGTGGGGCTCTATACATGGACTAATAGACTTTAACACCCAATGGTAACATGGAAAGGAAGCTCTGGACACTGACCTGCTCCTGGAACCCCAGCTGCACCTTTTCCAGGGCTGGTTTCTCTCAGACTTTGCTCCTGTTAACCATTTTTGTCCACGACTTCATTCTTCAATTTTGTGAGACAACGAACTTAGACTCAAACATCTCACATTTTGGTTTCAAAACAAGAAGGGGAATAAATCAAGGAACATGAGCAGAAAAAATAATAGAATAAAGTCAATTAAACAAAGAGCTGATTCTTTGAAAAGACAAAAAAAAGGCAAACCTCTATTAATATTAATTTTATTTTTTAAATTTATTTTCCCATCACCTTTTATCACTTCTGTGCCCTCTTCCGCCTCTAGAATTTCTAAAAAAGAGGAAAAGACACAAATTATCAACATCAAAAAAACCCCAAAGATATCACTAAAAGTTGTAGACATCAAAAGAATTGTGTGATTACCATAAATAATTCTAAATGCATAAATTTGACAATGTAAATAAAATTGATTAATTCTTTGAAAAACAAAAACAACCATAACTCAAAAATGTAGATGTTTATAGCCCTGCAACTATGTTGAATTCTTAATTTTAAAACTCCCCAAAAATAAATCTTCAGCCCTAGTTACTTCAATCCAAAGAGGCCCTCTCAAAGACACTTGGTAATGAAGTCATCAAAAAGTAACAAAAAAGAAAAACTTCTCAAAGCAGCCAGGGAAAAGGAAGTGACCTACAAGGGAAAACCCATTAGAATTTCATCCAACTTCTCAGCAGAAACTCTACCAGGCAGAACAGAGTGGAACCTAATATTCAAACATGTGATAGTGAGAAATTACCAGCCACGAATAAAATATCCACTTTGGAGAATTATCTATTTAGGTCCTTTGCCTATTTTTAAATTGGATTGTTTATCTTCCTTATGTTAGTTGTATGAGTTCCCTATAAATATTGGAGATGAACTACTTATCGGATATATCATTGGCAAATATGTTGTCCTATTCAGTGGGCCCTCTTATTATGTTGTTGAAAGTTTCTTTTGCTGTGCAGAGCTTTTTATTTTGATATAGTCCCATTTGTTTATTTTCTCCTTAGTTTTTACTGTCCTGGGATATGTGTTGATAAACATATTGCTATGAGAGATGTCTGAGGTTTTGTTACCTATGGTTTCTTCTAAGATGTTTATGATTTCACGACTTACATTTAAATATTTTGTCCATTTTAAGTTTATTTTTGTGTATGGTGTAAGCTGGTTTAGTTTCATGTTTTTTTGCATACATCTTTCCAATTTTTCCAACATCATTTATTAAATATGCAGTATCAAAGTCCCATATTATGATTGCACTGCTGTTGATCTCTCCCTTGATATCTTTGAGGAGTTTTTTATGTATTTGGATGCTCCTGTATTGGATGTATATATGTTTATCAGAGTTATATCCTCTTGTTTTGTTGATTATGAAGTGGTCTTCCTTATTTCATTTTATGGTCTTCACTTTGAGGTCTATTTGGTTAGATATAGGTATTACTATCCCAGCTTTTTTTTTTCATTTCCATTTGCCTGAAATTTTTTTTCCTATCCCTTTACTTTCAGTCGTTGTTCTGAGGTGGATCTCTTGTAGACAGCATATATATAGGTATGTTTTCTTATCCATTCAGCTACTCTATATCTTTTGATTAAAGCATTTAATCCTTTTACATTTAAGATTATTAGAGGCCCAATGCATGAAATTAATACAAGAGTAGGCCTTCGCAGCCCTGGCTGCCTCGGCGTTCACAGTCCTGGCTTCATCCAGAAGGTCATCTGGATGGCTGTTCTGCTGTCTGGACGTTCGGTCAATTTGCATATAATTCTTTTATTATTATAGATAGGTACTTTGTTGACATTTTTATCCTTTATGTCTGTGTTTCTCCCTCTTTTCTATTTCTTCTTCTGACAGCAGTCCCCTTAGCATTTTTTACATTCTGGTTTGGTGGTAATAAAATACTTTAGCATTTTTTTTTATCTGCATAGTTCCTGATTTCACCTTCAATTTCGAATGATAGCCTTGCTGGATAGAGTAGTCATGGATTCAGTCCCTGGCTTTTATTACTTTGTACTAGAGGCCCGGTGCACAAAATTTGTGTGGGGTGGGGGGAGTTGTCCCTCAGCCCAGCCTGCACCCTCTCCAATCTGGGACATCTCGGGGTACATCCGACTGCCGGTTTAGGCCCAACCCCTAAGCCGGGATCAGGACTAAACCGGCAGTCGGACATCCCTCTCAGAATCCGGTACCACCGGCTCCTCACCTCTCGCCTGCCTGATTGCCCCTAACTGCTTCTGCCTGCCAGTCTGATCGGCCCCTAACCACTCCCCTGCCAGCCTGATTGATGCCTAACTGCTTCCCTGCTGGCCTGATCGCCCCCAACTGCCCTCCCCTGGGACCAGCATCCTCCGCTGGGATTTGCCTTCTCTGTGCGAGGCGGTGGAGATGCTGGGACTGGCCTTCTCCATGCCACGCAGAGCCACAGGACCCCCAGGAGTGGAGCAGCCACCGGGCCCTGCCTCTGCTGTGTGCGTGGCCATCTTGTGGTGGCCATCTTGTGATGATGTCACAGGAGGGCACAGTGAGAGGGCATGACACTACCTAGGCCTTTATTATATAGGATACTTCATGTCACTCCCTTCTGGCCTGATGTGTTTCTATTGAGAAGTCAGTTGATAGTCTAATGGGAGATTTTCTGTCATTCTCTTACAGCCTTTAAGATTCTTTCCTTGTCTTTAACATTTCCAAATTAAATATGATGTGCCTTGGTTTGGGTCTTTTGGGGTTCATCTTGTTTGGAAATCTCTGTGCTTCCTGCAGTTGTGTGACTTTTTCTTCCCTAAGTCCGGAAATTTTTCTGTCATTATTTCTTCAAACAGGCTTTCTATTCCTTGTTCACTTCTCCTTCTGACACCCTTATTATGTGCATAGTGCTTTATTTCATGTTGTCCCAAAGCTCCCTTAAACTCCACTGCTTCTTAATTGTTTGGGGTTCTCTGCGCTTCCTGGACTTGTAAGTCCATTTCTTTCACCAGGTAGGGGAAGTTTTCTGTCATTATTTCTTCAAAAAGGTTTTCAATATCTTGCCCTCTCTCTCCTTCTGGTACCCCTATAATTCTGATATTGGTACGCTTGAAGTTGTCCCAGAGGTTCCTTACACTATCTTCATATTTTTGGAATCTCTTTTCTTTTTTCTTTTTCGGTTGGGTATTTTTTGTTTCTTTGTATTTCAAATCTTTGACTTGATTCTTGGGATCCTCTTGTCTGCTGCTGGATCTCTGTAAATTATTCTTTATTTCAGTCAGTGTATGCTTAATTTCTAGTTGGTCCTTTTTCATGTCCTCCATGGTCTCACTATACTTATTGAGGGATTCATTAAATTTATCGGCGGTTTCCATAAAATTCTTGAAAAACCTTATAAACGTGGCCTTGAACTCTATATCCAATCGTTTGCTTTCCTCCATTTCTGCCATTTGTGATCTGTTTCTTTGTCTCCGCATTTTGGCAGCTTCCCTGTGTTGATAGAGTGGCCCTGCGCACCAGGTGTCCTGTAGGGCCCAGTAGCTCAGTCTCCCCAGTTACCTGGGGTGGACACTCTTGGTGCACTCTTAGTGCCTTGGTTGTTGTAGAATCACTGGGAGGAATTGACCTCCAGGCCAATTGGCTGTGAGAATCAGCTGTGTCTAAAGTGGGAGAACTTCTGTGCTGAAGACACCCTTCTGGGGCAAGACTTGCTTCAGTGGGGCTTTGGTGCTCACTGAGTCTGCTCCCTGAGTGTGTCCCTTATGGATCTGAGGAGTTGCAGTCTGGATGGTCCCCCTCTGACCACTGGGTACAGTGGCTCCTGGATCTAAGGAGGTGCTAATTCAGCCTCTGCCTGAGGCCACACAGCAGGAGCCACGAAGAGGCTCAGCTGTGAAGCAATGCAAGCCCCTGCGGGGCCTTGGGCCTTCTCTTGGAAGTTCCGGGTCTGCCTGGCTCGGCTGCAGTTAGGTACATTCACATGCAAAAGCCTCTGCCGCAGCCTGGGTGGGGCGGGGTCTCAGGGAATCCAAGGGCGGATCAAGGAGCTATGGCTGATTCTCTGCCCGGAGTCGCGGGTCTCAGTGACCCGCTAATTGCTGCAAGCACCTCTGAGGGAAAGCCGCCTTCAAGTTCGCCTGCTGCCGGACAGACCAGCTTCTCCCCGTATGAGTCCTGGGTCCCCAGAGACTTCCCGGAACCGGAGTTCAGAGCAGTCGGGAGCTTGTGATTCAAAAAGACAGCCGCGTCCTCAGGTGCCACCCCCTTTCCTCGCGCGTGCGAGCCGCAGTACCTCTGCACTTCACCTCCGCAGCGCCTCTGGCTCTCAGCGTGCTTTTCTTTCCTTCTAGTTGTAGAATTTACACTCAGCCAGCCTTTCTGTTGTTCTGGATGATGTTTGCTCAGTCCTTTGCGGTAATTTTCAATTGTTGTGTGAGGCGACAGTTTCCCAGTGTTTACCTATGCCGCCATCTTAGTTTCTCCTCTTCCCAGTTTTTTATTACCTTGTCTTATTTATTACCTCATTCAGTTGTCAGTTTCTTCTAGTCTACTGTTATAATCTTCTATTGTGTTCTTTATTGCAGCTATATCATTCTTTATTTCCTTTTGAATCTTCTTCATGTTTGTTTTTCATTCAGCTCCTTATAATTCTCATTGCGGTGCTTGCAATTCTCAGTCAGATGTTTGAGCATTATTATAACCATCACTTTGAAATCTTTATCTTACAAATAACTTACCTTCATTTCATTTAGTTTCTTTTCTAGTGATTCATCCTTTTCTTTCCTTTTGGGTGTTTTTTATTTGTCTCCCTATATTTGCTATACCTTTGTATTTTTTCTATGTATTAGATCAAACTACTATGCCACCCAGATTTTTGGAGGATGGTCCTTCATTATTTTGTGGGAGCCAGTGGTGCAATCTCTCAGATCTCCTGGGCTGGGTGTTCTAGGAAAGCTTCTTATTTGAGTTATTTGGGTTCTCCTAATGTAGTTGGGTGTTGAATATTATTGTCCTCTTTGTGGCTGGAGTCTCCTCACAGGTTGTCTGATTATGTGGCTCACCTCTGACCTCGTTGTGCAAGCTGTTTTGAATGTGCTTCTTGCTGGTCCAGGTGATTCACTGATCCCCTGATCCACCACTTGTGTCTGTCTCCATAGGCCTTGGCTGCAAGCAGCAGGGGTCAATTTGACCTCTAGAGTAAGCTTGTTAGCTGCATGGGCTGGTTCAGCAAAGTTCCTTAGTTCTCTGGACTTTGCTTCTCCTTACCTTTGGCTGTCAACCAGCTGTCAATCTTAATCAATCAAAAGTCTGTTTCTGACAGGGCTTT